TAAGACTGTATATATGCGTCGTATATTCGTTGCGATTGGCTTGTATATGAGACTGTATATATTCGTCGTATATTTGTTGCGATTGGTTATATATAAAACTGTATATATGCGTCGTATATTCGTTGCGATTGGCTTGTATATGAGACTGTATATATTCGTCGTATATTCGTTGCGATTGGTTTATATATGAGACTGTATATATTCGTCGTATATCCGTTGCGATTGGCTTACATATGAGACTGTATATATTCGTCGTATATTCGTTGCGATTGGCTTACATATGAGACTGTATATATTCGTCGTATATCCGTTGCGATTGGCTTACATATGAGACTGTATATATTCGTCGTATATTCGTTGCGATTGGCTTGTATATGAGACTGTATATATTCGTCGTATATTTGTTGCGATTGGTTTATATTTAAGACGGTATATATTCGTCGTATATCCATTGCGATTGGCTTATAAATGAGACTGTATATATTCGTCGTATATACGTTGCGATTGGCTTATATATGAGACTGTATATATTCGTCGCAAATCCGTTGCGATTGGCTTATATATGAGACTATATATTCGTCGTATATCCGTTGCGGTTGGCTTATATATGAGACTGTATATATGCGTCGTATATCCGTTGCGATTGGACTATATATGAGACTGTATATATTCGTCGTATATCCGTTTCTTGGGAACGAACGTATATTGGGCTGATGCTTTCTAAGCGCATGTGTTGCCGGCCTTTGTGATGGCCTCCAATGATATGTTCACCAACGAAAGCAAGAACTGCAACGTAGCAAACCACACCTCAGACACATACAAGCCTACTTTACGTTCATGCGATTGGCTACAAGTACAAGTACAAATTCAAGTTCAGGAACAGCTTGATAGATGAAAATATTTATACTTTTCTTCATAGCATAGCCTGCCAGTCATGTTCATCCTCAGGGAGAGGGACGCCGCCCCGACCACGGACCCTTCCAAAGCTCCCTTCATATAGTATCATAACTGTTGTGAGTGTTGCTCAAGCTCCCTTCATATAGTATCATAACTGTTGTGAGTGTTGCTCAAGCTCCCTTCATATAGTATCATAACTGTTGTGAGTGTTGCTCAAGCTCCCTTCATATAGTATCATAACTGTTGTGAGTGTTGCTCAAGCTTCCTTCATATAGTATCATAACTGTTGTGAGTGTTATCCAAGCCCCCTATATATAGTATCACAACTGTTGTGAGTGTTGCTCACGATGTATGTATGCCACCATCCCTATAGACGCACGCTACCTTCTCGAATTCTGAAAACCGATCTCACTTCCGTCAACGCAGGTAATAAAGAACAAGGAAACTAGCAAGGACACTGATGGGAACGATAACAGCAATGATCCGTCAATCACCGATACTGTTTTTCTGAAGCACCGTCGCACAAAACTACGGGCCGAGTTGATTGCCCTCCAGGTATCGAATTCTGATATTTGATTTAGTGTGTATGTATGTAGGACTGTGTATATGTATGTAGGTGTGTGTATATGTATATAGGTGTGTGTTTATTTATGTAGATGTGTGTTTATGTGTGTTGGTATGTGTATATGTATGTATGTAAGTCTGTGTATATGTATTTAGGTGTGTGTTTATGTATGTATGTCCTGTGTATATGTATGTATGTCCTGTGTATATGTATGTAGGTCTGTGTATATGTATGCATGTAGGTCTGTGTATATGTAGTAGGTGTGTGTGTATGTATGTAAGTGGGTTCGTTCGCCGAGTGGTCATGTCATCCCAACGATGCTATGTATACTTACCTTTTGTTTACGCTCATGTCATCTCAACGATGATATGTATACCTACTTTTGTTTCCGTTCATGTCATCGCAACGATGCTATGTATATCTACTTTTGTTTCCGCTCATGTCATCCCAACGATGCTATGTATACCTACTTTAGTTTCCGCTCATGTCATCCCAACGATGCTATGTATACCTACTTTTGTTTTCGCTCATGTCATCCCAACGATGCTATGTATACCTACTTTTGTTTTCGCTCATGTCATCCCAACGATGCTATGTATACCTACTTTTACTTCCGCAGGAGAGAGTACTTGAACAGCAACAAGAATTGGGAATCGAACTACAGCTGCCCGATACGCCCGGAGCAGAAAATTCAAATATGGTAAAGTCGCCGTACGCTCGTTGCAGCCCAGCGTGTTTATTTATATGTTTCGTTTCAACCAAGGGTTTAGGGTTAGCAATTAGCGTTGGCGAGACTGTTTCAGCTCTCATAATGTCGAGTGGTGTATATACCACGTGTTCCAGCCCATTCTGTGTTGCTCTTGGCGACTATATCACCACCAAAGCACGTCTGTTGATCCTGCTGATTTCCTGTGTTGATCCTGCTGATTTCCTGTGTTGATGCTTCATGCATATAGGTTCCTCTTACCGCTCTGAACACGGAAACCATGTGGAATATGCTGTCACCGGGAGTGCTGAATAGTGGTGCAAGTAGTAGGATGGTTCCCGCAGATCACAATGTACCAGACAGGTGAGAATATTCGTTGTCTTAAGAAGTGGACTGTATTATTATGATTGAAGGATTGTATAAGGCAAACGATAGAAGCCTGTACTAGGTGTATTCACATCGAACTTAGTACGGTTGAAGGAGTAGACGATAGTATTAGGATTGAAGGGCC